TGGTTCTCTAACAGGTTTATATGTCTCCATATACTATCCCTGACCCCTACCTCTTTCACTGTCACTTGATTTTAATACTCCTTTCACTTCCTCCAACTATGCTCTCTGATACACTTTCTCCTAACATATTGATTTTACCTGCTTACTTTGAAAGTAGAATTGGTGATGCAATTCTCCTGACTGACACTTGTATTATCTTCCTCCAAATACCAAATTAAACAAAGAACTCATTAACCAAGCCATTGAAGGTACCTTGCTTCTTGATCTTAGTATCTTCATTCATATTTTCCACATTGCTACTCTGCCTAGTGTTGAATAATTTTGTTAAAACTGGAACACACACACACACACACACACACACACACACACACACACACACACACACACAAACACACACCACTCACCTCACTTCTTAAAGGAGAATAATTTTGCTATGAAAATACAGCTTCTCTATTTTGGCTACAGTCTTGTGCTTCATTCGGCATGCAAGACACTTGTCCTTTTTCCTCATGCCAATGATTTGTCCTCTTTTGATTTTCCTTCAAATAGACACGATGTCACCATCTGGAATATCTTGTCTTCCTTTTCTGCCATTTCTTGGATCTTACTTTGTATTTTAATTCTTGTTGTGATTGCCATCCCTTCACGTTCATGATAATCATAATGCAAGGATTTTATGATTTTCAATTTTAACAATCAATTGTATTTAGAACTATTATGCCTAAATAGTGCATATTCAATAGGTATCTGTACAAGCACTTTCAAACACAGGGAAGTTTTACCTTTTCTCAGAAATTACCAAATTGAGATAAAGACCCCCAAGTGTTAGTATCATAGAAAATTCTATACTACTCCACCTTGGTTTATAAAAAATGCAAAGGGCAGAGACCACAGAAGGAGTACATAGGGACAGGCAGCTCAAATGAAATGATGAGTGGCAGAAGGGACCTCTGGAGGGTCACAGATGTTGGACATGATAGGTTTTGCTTTATGAAATTGCATTACTTTTACCTGAACAACTAAATTGAACCAGAGAGCATATAGCCTCCCCTGTTAAATGTTATAAAAAGATTAGTGGGCTTGACTGAATAATAGTAGGTGCAAAGCACAAAAGAAAGGGCACATGTTCGTCCTACCTTACCACAGGTCTGTTTTACTTGTTACTTCAAATGGAAATGCTCTGAAAACTGACCTGAGGGTTATAGCAATAACCCGGAATCCTGTGCTTTACTGTTTAGAATAATGCTGCAGCTTCAGATGTGCTAAGTTGGACAGGTGTCAAAGCAAATCCTGACTTTACACTTGGCACCTAGTCACCTGTGATTCTGATGTCTTTAGAAACAATTCCTCTGCTTCTGGTTTGCACTTGTTACATGTAGAGATGAAAACGATGACAATAGTGAGTGAACATGATCAGGGAATTACAGAGTGCTGCTCAGAATGAAAGGAGCCAAAGTTTATTCTTGAGATGGACAGCTGTCTTTGTAAGGTGATATTTAATATTTAGTGATAAAAATGTTGCTTATTTGTACATCTGGTAAAGATGTCCAAATTATGTAATGTCATGATATACTGGAAACTCTCCTATTTTAGCATTGAAAAACAGTCACATACTGGGAAGTACCTTATAATTAGGCAAACCAGGACAACTGATCAACACATGCAAACTTTGGTGTAAATACTAACTATATTGTAAGGATAAGAGGATGGATAATGAGAGATACTGACTTCTTGTCTAGCAAATAACACAACACAAGTCAGATAAAGATCTTTGAGATCTAAATCAAGTTATCTTTCATTCACCACATTGTATGTTCTAGTCTAACCTATTGGTAAACCTACACGGACAGACATGTACAAATATACATATTCAGAGACACATAAACATATAGGGACACAAACACACACACACACACACACACACAGACACATATAGACACACAGACATGCAGAAACACACACACACATACAGAGACATACACAGACAGAGACATATAGACACACAGACATGCAGAAACACACACACACAATCATTTATTATAAATGACAATTTCCAGGCCAGAAGAATACTTGCAGCCCATAGCAGCCATATCACATATTTTCTTAAAGAATAAATATGAATTGAGTTTCATAAGCTTAGGAAAATATTTATGCATCATACATTTATAGATAGAACGAGTAAATAAACTGAGGATTAATTTTTAAATAACAAAATCAAATAAATGTACATAAACAGATAAGATTGTGATGA